AAACACTTCTCCCCTATGCCCCTCCAACAATGTAGTACATGAGGGGGGAAGGAAAGTGTTAATCCCTTGGTGGAGCAATGTTATGGTCCCCTGGAGTGTGGAAACCTGTAGTTTCCTGGGGAAGCAAATAGGCTTGTGTTCCTCCATTTTATTAAGCTCAATATCTAGTTCCCTTTGCTTCCCATTCCTAGCTAAATACTGACAGTAACATTATGGTGTGGATAAGGGGAATGGAGGGGCTGACTTTTTCTGTGCTTCAATCTCTCCTGGTTATGGTTATTTCCAGGTCTCTGAGACAGGTCAGCTCTTATGTAAAACTGAAGATAAGAGGCTATGACAGAACAAGGTCTGTTGGTTTGTTACTGTGGCTTTGGTTTCAGTTTGATTAAAACCACAGAGGCAGAGTAGAAGGGTGCATAGGGAGTAGAGGAAAATCTTGGGTAGTCTGAGGGAGAAGTGGTAAGGCCCTGACTGGGCAGAGTTGGGAGGAGCTGGGTCTGGGGAGTGTAGAGGGTGAAGAACAGAGTTACTTGGAGCATTCTGGTAGAAGTGAAATGGGATGTGGGGTGTGAAACAGACAGTGAGAAAAACTAAGGGCGTTCTGGTAGACTATTTTCACTCAGATTCAATATTCAGGAAATGCTAGAAGTTAAGAAGCTTCTAAAGGTGGTCAGTTCCAAGCTCAGCAGGTACACACTGATCCTGCTCTTCTTTGTTGACCATGATCCATGTAGCAGGCTCTGTCCTACAAATATTGCACATACTTATGTTAGGTATAATACTACCCCACTATATAGATGTGGAAACTGAAGCTTGCAGAAGCTGAGCAGCAGCAGAAATTTGGTGTCTGCAATGCCCATTTAAAAAAAAGATTTTTTAAAATTTATTTTTAGAGAGAGGGTAAAGGAGAAAGAGGGAGAGAAAAATATTGACATTGTTGTGTGAGAGAAACATCAATTGGCTGTTTCTCATATGCCCCCAACTAGGGACCTTGCCTACAACCCAGGCATGTGCCCTGACTGGTAATCAAACTGGTGACCTTTTGGTTTGCAGGTGGGCACTCAACACACTGAGCCACACCAAGCCAGGGCTCTGCAATGCCTATTTTTAACCTTCACACTTCTCTGACAAATCAGTCTCTTAGTGAAAGAAAAGAGTGGATGTTCCAATAAATCAGTGGTCCGCCATTCTTATTGAGCATCAGAATTTTCATGGATGGTTGATTTGGTTAGTGGTGGGGCCCGAGAACCTGAATTCTTGGAAAATGCCTAGGTGATGGTCCAGAGAAGCACAGCTCTAGAAGGTTTCTAGAGTGCATCTAGAAATAAGGATCAGGCTTTGAAGATGCCATCTGAGGCTCCTTCCAGGTTTTCAGCTTACAATATCCCTGAAGGGAAGCTTTTCCTAGGCTACCTTGTCTAGAATCCAAGATTATGATCTTTTCATAGTACTTCAAGAAATGACACAAGCCAGTGTGCAAGGCTGCCATCAAGCTTGTCGATGTTTACTGCTCTAGCATGGATGAGCAGAGAGACAAGCTGTCCCTGCTGGAGGTGGAGGAGGACATGCTGATGTGGGATGGAATTCCCATCTCCAGGAAGACAGTTGTGGGTGACATTTTCAGCTAACTGCTTCCAACTCATTCTATGTCACCAAGTCCACTGCCAGCCTGTGAAGCACCCAGAAATGGACAAGATGGGAATCCTCATTGTGCCCTGTGAGACAGCAAAGTTGGAGGGTCATCCATGATGCATTTCCCACCAGACCTTCATTTTGAAAATGCTACCTGGTCCAACCACACAGAAATGAGGTTGTGCAGGGTTGCTGCCATTGAGGGAGGTGGTGGGTGCCAGACACCCTTCCAGTGGTTTCTAATGTGGAAGCCACATTTTCCTTGTGGAGGGTGGGGCTGCTGCAGTTCACATTACATAGTAGCAGCCTGTCTGCTGATGTTATGTTTAGTTCCCCTACTAACCTACTTTATTCCTTGCCCTACAAAAGGTCTACGTTCTGAAATTCTGAAATATAAAAATGCAATAGAAATGTTGCCAGCTTTGTGTGTTTGGGATTGGGGGTGGTTGGAGGGGGGTTTCAGGGGAGGTACTCCTGTGGTGGAATGGGAGGGGCTGAATTCCTTGACTGAGCTGCATGCACAGGAATTCACACACATACACACACACCTCACACCTGCAAATCACAGTAGAAAGTGAAATAGCTCATCTTCAGCCTAAAGCAGGAGATTAAGATCTAAAGCTTTAGTCTGTCTGCTCACTCTTCTCCTGTTTAAAGACAGAATGTTCTGGGAATAGGGTCACCTTATACACTTCATGCTAGTCAGTGATCATCTGACTCACCTTCCCCAGAGTTGGGAGATGACAACTAAATAGTAATTGTAAAGCCCCGAGCAGGATGGTGGCTGAATGGAGGCAGGGAGTAGGGCCTTGGCTGTAATGGAGGGTGGCAGGGCCATATGTCTTCATGTCTCTATCTAAACTACATCTATATTTATATTAGGCAGTTTTTTTCAAGAGTAGTTTTAAATACATCTGTTGCTTCAAGCAGGTAAGGCTCCTGATGTTCTTGGGAAGTCAAGTAACAAAGGTCTTTCCAGATTTGCCTCAGTGGTCTCTACCATCCAGAGACATCCTCTCCTTAAGGGACAGTAATAGGGTGTCTGCATTTTATGTCCTGTGTTCAGTGGGGTCATGTAGACTCCAGGCCTCTTAACTCAGCATGTTCTGTTGAATCCCCTTCTCTCTCTGCTAGAGGCAAGGGAGATGGCACCTCACTACTCTTCCCTGTGGGGACATAGAACAGGGATCGTGGAGCAGGTGAAAGGCTTTCTTCCAGAAAATCTCTCCCCAAAACACCCTGCCTCCCCTCCTTATGAGGCAATGGACACTAGCACTCTGAGGTCCCATCCTCATAAGCACTGGGGAGTTGAGGGTTTCTTTGCTGTTGTCAGTCTGATGGGGGTGTGGTACCTCCTGCTATCACCTAGGTTGCTGCTATGCAATGGTGTGGGGGATTGATGTGGAGAAACCACCAGTGTTCATCGCAGGCCTTAACTAATTCTATTATAGTAAACTGAGTTTATACATCATTTCCTTCCTACCTTCCTTCTATATGTATTTTTGTTTTCCCTTTTAAATTATTTTCTTGTGCCTTTATGGAAATATGGCCTGTCCTTTGTTGCACATACCCTTCTCCAGTTTTGTCACTGCTTATGTTTGGCTATATGTAAAAAAAAAAAAAAGCATTGAAAAACAGTGCCTTCAATAAAATGGAATTGTATTTCTTGCTCCCCAAGAGAAGCTAGAAGAGCTCCATGAGGGTGACAGGGCCTGTAGAACCTGCTTTCCATTCCTCCATCCCTTTCATGTGGCCACAAAATGGGCCTCATTGGCCCTGTAGAACTATCCAGGCCTGTGTTAATGAGGTGGCATTCCACCTGGTCCCTTAAGGACTTTGAGATTTGAAGGCCAGCAGCATCTCCCTCCAAATCAATCTCTGCACTAATGTTCCTGCCCCACTCCACCTTCCTCCTGAGGGACAGTGCTCCAGGGTCTCATGTAATTCTACATCTTGGTTTGGAACCTCACTCTCATGTCTCATATGTACAATATTTTACCAGTATCCCAGCTGAATTGCTTGTCTCATCTTACTATGCACACATCTATGTGACTGGCTGAATCACTCTTTATGTCTTTGACACTGAATTTAATTTACCATTTCAATATCTTACCTCCTGATTACAAACTCTTTGAGGGGAAGGAACACACCTGTGCCTTCTTTGGTTCCCCACAGTGCCTTGGCAGAAAAATTCCCTTAAAGGGCACACCCCCTTGTATGCCCATTGCATACAAGGGGGTGTGCCCTTTAAGGGAATAGGTTTTGCTACAGTTATGTGACATAGGCCGGGCCAGTAATGACTTAAAGATAGGACTTTTTGGTGGTTTCACATAATCATCAGGGACCTAGGCTCCCCCCAGCTCAACCAACACAAACCAGTGGCCCAGCCATCATTGCTGCCTTCTAGGCAGCAAGACAGAGGATTTGTCTTTTGAAGCAAGATTCTCCCACAAGCCCAGTTCTTCTATTTCTACATTATTGGCTGGAACTTGATCACATGTCAAACACAGTTATAAACTCAGCTAGGAAGTTCTCTTTTAGCTGGGTACTTTGTCTCACTAAACATTGAGTTTCAGTAACTAGAGAAGGGGGAGGGTATTGGGAGGAAAATCTCATCTGTGCCACCGTACACATCAGTATTCTTTTCCTTCTCAATTTTCCCTTTCCAAATCCTAACCCACAACCCTATCCCAAACCTAGCAAAGAAAATTTAATTAGGAAGTCGTGTAGTCACAAGATCTCACCTATTGGGCAAAAGATGATGAAACATTCTAGTTTTCTATTCTTTTTACATTACAGAGTTGATCTTCAGTGTCAATAAAACTAGCTTTTAATTCTGATGCTTCCCCTACCCCAACCTCAGTATTTCTTCCTCATAAAAGCAGTTCTTCACATTTTCTTTGTAAGAGATTAGTTAATATAGCTGTTTCATTTACAAGCAGTTATGAGCTCTTTAGTATTTCACCTGTTCTCATTCATGTAACTCTCAGCTAAGCTTTTAAGGTAGGGCCCATCCACCTCCGTTAGGTGAGTATGATGTATTCCAAAGTAAACTACACATTAAGACACCTAGAGTGCTTTTGAAAAATGCCAATGCCCAGTCCTACCCTCAGACTTTCAGGATAGTTGGTCTGGGATGTGTGGCCTGAGCAAAGGTAATTTCAAAATGTCCCAAGGAATTACAGTGCGGAATGGTTGTGAAGTCCAGCTCCACTACACCTGGGTATACACCCATGCCTGGTACAGGTGCTTGGCCTCGGACCTCACACTTCTGCAAGTGTCTTTTACAAAGCTTACTGCCTTTAACTTACCCTCTCCTTAAAACCTGGTCAAACACATCAGGCAAGAGAAAACGAACATTTGTATTATTGTTTTATTTGTCAGAATTTCCAGAACCAGGGTGTCTACTGGACGAGTAGAAAAATAGCTTTTACTACTATGAAAAGGCAACTATGACAAACAAATATACTCAGAGGCTCCATGGACTGAAACAAATGCAGAGTTCAGCCTGGGCAGTGTATCTTACAACAACAAAAGAAACTGTGTACACACATTTTGAGATCTGCATTTCCCTCCAGAGCTAGGGCTGAAGCAGAGGCCTTTCCAGCTCTACTAGCTGGCCCAATCCTGGAACCGGAAGCAGTCACTTGCTATCTTCCACACTGTATTACTGGGTGAAGCCTGGGCAGTAAGGAGGAAGTTCTGGTTGAAGTCCCGTTGTTTGTTGCCTTCAAACTTCACTGTTCCACAGATCACAACAAGGACTGTGGTCTGGCTTGGGGTGGCTTCATCATGTACAGGCTGACAGTCAACCACATTGATTTGAAACTCACTGGAAGGCAACATTTCAAAAAACTCACTCAAGGACTCTTGCCCTGAGACAGCGTTTCCGTTCCACACCAGGGTGGCTGTGCCCATGTATAGGCGGGACAGCAGACGCCTCCGCTTATCCATGGTGGTGTAGTAGACGTTGACAAACTCCTCAGCAGCCCTACAGGCCTGATCCACGTAGGTCTTGAAGTCCACTGATGCCATCTCTGGTTTTGCTAAAGGAGGCCTCCTTCCAGGTGCTTCCTGCACCTGAGGGAGATGGGGCTGTGGGGAGGAAGGTCAAAAAGAACCCATGTTAACACCAAACTTCATTCTGTCCTGACAAGTTTTTTATTGGTGGCAAAACAATTACATTCCATAGAGAGATGACTCTAGGCTCAGATTGCTGCTGACACCTAATCTTACTAAACCTCAGTTTTCTCATCTTAAAATGGGATTATTACTAATTGTGGCATAGTTGTAATGTGAGAATTAAATAGGACTGTATACTAAGTGTTCGGTTAAAAAGCCTAATACCTACATGCTCAGAAAATGGTAGCTATTACTATGAATGTTAAAAAATCTCATTTTACAAAACAGCATACTTGATCATGGAAGGCCACTTTTTCCTAAAATCGTGAAACAGGTGTTCCTGTCCCTAGAAAAGTAAGGAAAATTTATCCTGGGTAAAGACAGTGGACCTTGTTGAAGAGAACAGTAGCCTAATAAAGGCCAATCAGATGGCATATGCTTATCAGCTTGTAACAGTCTGTGATAGCCTATCATGCCTGAGTTCACTCCACAGATACTGGGAGTTTTTGTTTTTTTTTTAAAGGCAGGTTTCTTAAGAGGGTAAAAGAACAAATGCCACAAAGACAGAACCAAAATGATGGTCATAATCCTCATGACAGCTATAAGAAACCTGGCGGCTGACTGGGAATAAAAATGGAGAACACCTAGCATCTGTGAACATCAATACTCACCAGGTAAGTCCTGTAAGCCACAATGGAAAGATAGGTTAGAATCAAAGAAATTCTGAGGGGTGGTAGTGGAGAGTAGGGGTGGCAAAAAAGAATTTCAACTGTAGCTGAGATGCCACGTTTCCTTTAAAAAGCCCCAAAGCATAAAGAAATACTATTGTTTCCCCTCCCCGCAGGGTATGGTACAACTATTACAGTTCTCTGTTCTTTTGTACACAATTAAAATATTTCACTAAAAAAATCCAACAGAAGACATGACTAAAATAGTGCGTATATTTAGACTTATAAAATTAAATATTGAACAAATTTTACATTTCACAGATCTTAACTTTTTTAATGAAATAGATTTAAAAAATTCCATACTAGACTGAGAAGGAGTCAGGGACTTTTAAGGGCTAAGAAAGGTGGAGACCTCTGCCTCCTGCAAGAACTGTAAGGAGCTGGGAGGGAGCGTAGTCCTAGGAATGAGCAGTTTCAGGGCCAGATTCAGACTGGTTTTTCTGTTCCCTTCAGTAACCTAAAGTCAAGCCTCAACAAACACTGTGAGCTGGCTATTTGCTAAGTGTTTTACATGCATTACCTCATTTAATAGTCACCACAAATGGATGAGAGAGTATTACTATGATAATTATACTAATAAGAAAATTAAAACTTAGGTTTGGATCTTGGCAGTAAGGACACTATCATTTATAAGAATGTATGTGGATCTTGCAAATGTCAAGATTATGCTGTCCTTTCACTTGCTTATTTTTTATGTTCCTGCACTCATGAAATCAATTTCATAATAGCACAATTTCTGGACCACTAGTTTGAAAATTTCCTTTCAAGGGCCCACATTTCTCTGTTGAAGGAATTCTCAATCACCAAAGATCCACATTATTCATCACCCTGACATTCCTCAGTTTCTCTACCATCTCAATTCAATATCAGAAACATCCCTCATCTCCACCCCAGTTCCTGGCTCACATTTTCTGTTCCAACGAAGCGTGCTTTCCAAACACAGTTTTAACAACCTGCCCGGCCGGATGCTTAATAAAATGACCACTTCCACTTGCCTTGAAACAGGCCTCATTTCTCGTGGAGAGTGGCTTTTACCCAAACACGTAAGGCACGCTTATTATGGCCATGTTCTGGACAGAAACCTGCTACTGAGCACTGCCCCTTCGTCATCAAGCGAATTTACTACCCAGCTTTCGCACAGGCCAAAGCGTGATACAGAACGGCGGCGCTGCCACCTGGAGAAGGGACAAAACATAGCTTAATCATGACAATGGAGGGAGTGCGTGGGAGGCACACGTAGGAGATGGCTAACGAAGCCCTCAGACTGTCCGGTAGGAGATCACCTACCTGTGCCGGCGAAGTCCAGGGTCTATGTGGAACGTGACCTCGGTCTGCCAGGTCAGTGCCGGCTGTGGTGGCCCCGGTCCAGCGGTCCAGCGACCTGAATTGGGGCCACAGCTACTCCCACTGTCCCTGAAGGTCGCGGGACTGGCCCGCCGATGCTCTGCGCTCTTCTTCGCTCTTCCGCTGCTTAGGAGGAGAGTCTCCCTTAGTTCCTCTTCTCCCCAGGAGGCACCGCCTGGGCTGCAGGACTTCTGAGCCTGTAGCCTTTACACTGCACTCTAGGGGTTACACCCGTGATCCATGGTGCTCTCAGATGACGCCAGCTCCCACCTCCCCAAGAAAGGCTTCTGTGCCAACCCGTGGAATGGTGATCTCTGAGGCTAGCTAGCTCCACCTAGGTGTGGCTCAAAGGTGATGGGAACTTCCGGGAAAGGTGCTTTCCCAGAATGCCACTGCAAATCCACGCTGGAGTTTTCATTGGTCTAAGCTGATCACAGAGGTGGGCCTACTTGTTAGGAGGGATTCCTGGTTGGATAAAACTTCCAAGTTTCACTTTCCAAGCCCAGAATTGAGGGGGCGGGGTCAGCTTTGAGGCTGAGGAGGTCGCTTAGTAAGGAAGGGTAGGGAAAGTGAGGGAACTATCCAGATACTCCTCAGTCTCTAGCAGTTGAGGTGATCCCCGGTTAAGACCAGTGAAGCTTCACTACGTGGAGCAGTTCCGGGAAATCAGCAGCAACAGTGACCCATCTTAAGGCTTTCAATCAGAGATAATGTGGGGAGTCAGTATGTCCTGCACCAGGGAAACTCCACGAGTCTGTGAGTGAACCCCACAAAGCATCTATTGAACTCAAGTATGCATTGAGGAAAACCAATTTGTATTAAGTATGAAGTTAAACTAAAAATGCAAAAAGAGTTAAGGGTGTGGGTAGGGCTTGAAGTAACCAACGAAAGTATGCCAAATAGGGAAATTTAACCTTCTTGTGTCCAGTGAATTGAGGACCGAAGAAGAACGGCTCAAGCTCTGGCTCAGAACCTCCTAGCTATGTGATACTTTCTGTTCTCTCTGTCTTTGAAACTAGTTGCATTTCAGCTATCTGGAACCTGGGCTGGTTTTTTTTTTTTTTTTTTTTTGGCTGAAATTTTGTTTAAAACAAGTACAACAGAATGCAACCAATTAGCATGGGACTCAGGAAATTATATAGTTTATAGCATAAATTTAAAACTTTGGTTTCTTAAGATACAAGATTCTTTTGTTTTATTTTTAGTTGTTTTTTAAATTTTTTACATTTTATTGTTGTTCAAATGCACCTGTCTAAATTTCCCCCCGCTCCCGCATTACTGCTTGGTTTTGTCTATGTGTCTTTTATAGTTGTTCCTAAAAACCTTTCCCTACTTCCCACCCATTATCCCCTTCCACCTCCACTCTAGTTACTGTCAGATTGTTCTTAATTTTAATATCTCTTTATATTTTGGTTCTCATTTGTTTTGTTGATTAAGTTCCACTTAAATGTGAGATCATATGGTATCTGCTTTCACCACCTGGCTTATTTCATTTAGCATAATGCTGTCCATTTTCATCCATGCTGTTGGGAAAAGTGGGAGGGCCTTCTTTATTTCTGCTGCATAGTATTCCATCAGGTAAATGTACCATAGTTTTTTGATCTATTCATTTATTGATGGGCACTAAGATTGCCACCAGCACTTGGCTATTGTAAATTGTGCAGCTATGAACATTGGCGTGTATAGGTTCTTATGGATTGGTGTTTCAGGATTCTTAGGATATAATCCCAGCAGTAGAATTGCAGGGTCCAAAGGCCATTCCATTTTTACTTTTCTGAGGAAATTCCATACTGTTTCTCACAGTGGCTGTACCAGTCTACATTCCCACCAACAGTGCACTAGCATTCCCTTTTCTCCACATGCTCTCCAATACTTGTTGTTTGTTGATATGTTTATGATGGCCACTCTCACCAGTGTGAAGTGATATCTTATTGTGATTTTAATTTCCTTCTGTCTTATGGCTAGTGATGCTAAGCATCTTTTCATATATCTCTGGGTCCTCTGTATGTCTTCCTTGGAGAATTGTCTGTTCAGGTCTCTTGCCCATTTTTAATTGCGTTGTTTGTCTTCCTGGAGTGGACTCCTGTGAATTCTTTATATATTTTGGAGATCAAACCCTTGGCCAAGGTATCATTGGCAAATATATTTTCCCACACAGTTGGTCCTCTTTACATTTTATTGCTGTTTTCTTTAGCTGTGCAAAAGCTTTTTATTTTATTGAGGTCCCATGTGTTTATTCTTTCCTTTGGGTCTCTTGCTCTAGGGGATGTATTGGTGAAAATATTACTGCATAGGATATATGATATTTTCTTGCCAGTGTTTTTCTCTAGGACTTTTTTGGTGTTTCAACTTATATTTAAGTCTTTTATCCACCTTGAATTTATTTTTGTGTGTGTTATAAGTTGGTAATCAAGTTTCATATTTTGCATGTAGCTGTCCAGATCTCCCAACATCATTTGTTGAAGAGGCTGTTTTTATTCCATTTTATGCTTCTACTCCCTTTGTTAAATATTAATTGACCATAGAGGCTTGGCTTTATTTCTACTCTCTCTATTCTGTTCCATTGGTCTATGTGTCTGTTCTTATGCCAGTACCAGACTGTTTTGATTACAGTTGCCATGTAATGTGGTTTGATATCAGGTACTGTGGTCCCTCCTACTTTGTTCTTCTTTCTCAACATTGCTGCAGCTATTTGGGATTGTTTATGGTTCCATATAAATATTTGAAATGTTTGTTCCATACCTGTGAAATATGTCATTGGTACTATAATAGGGATTGCACTGAATCTATAAATTGCTTTGGATAGTATGGACATTTAGATGATGTTAATTCTTCCAGTCTGTGACTCTGTTTTATGCTTCCATTTGTTTTTGTGCTCTTTAATTCCTTTCTTCAGTGTTGTGTAGTTGTGTAGTTTTCTGAGTACAGGTCTTTTACCTCTTTGGTTAGGTTTAATCCTAGGTACTTTTTTCTTTGTTGCTGCTGTAGAAATAGGATTTTTTTCTGTTTCTGATATTTCATTGTTAGTGTACAAAAATGCCTTTGATTTCTGAATATTGACTTTGTATCCTGCTGTTTTGCCAAATTCACTTATTAGGTCAAGTAGTTTTTTGGTGGAGTCTATAGGATTTCCTACGTAAACTGTTATATCACCTGCAAACAATGACAGTTTTGTTCCTTCTTTCCAGTTTAGATGACCTTTTATTTTTTTCTTGTTCAATTGCTGTGGAGAGGACTTTCAATACTATGTTGAATAGAAGTGGTGAAACTGGGCATCCTTGTATTGTTCCTGATCTTTCGGGGTCACCTTTTAGTTTTTACCTATTGACTATGATGTTGGCTGTGGGTCCCTCATGTATGGCCTTTATTATGTTAAGGAATGCTCCCTCTATTCCCACTTTGCTAAGGTTGTTTTTTTTTTATGGTAAATAGGTGCTGTTTTATCAGATTCTTTTTCTGCATCTGTTGATATGATCATGTGATTTTTGTCTTTCTTTTTTTTTAATGTGATGTATTACATTTTTAAATTTGTAAATATTGTACCATCCTTGCATCCCTGGGATGAATCCCACTTGATCATGTTGTATTCCCTTTTTAATGTGTTGCTGGATGAGGTTTGCCAATATTTTGCTGAGAATTTCAGCATATATGTTCATTAGTGATATTGGCCTGTAATTTTCTTTCTTTGTTATGTCTTTATCTGGTTTTGGGATTAGGATGATGCAGGCTTCATAAAAAGTGTTTGGTAGTCTTATTTTTGAATGTTTGGAATAGTCTTTGAAGGATAGGGGTTAGCTCTTCCTTAAATGTTTTTGTAAAATTCTCATGTGAAACCATCTGGTCCAGGGCTTTCATGAGCTGGGAGTTTTTTGATTACTGCCTCAATTTCACCAGCTGTTGTTGGTCTGTTCAGGCTTTCTGCTGCTTCTTCTTCATTCAGTTTTGGAAGATTATATTTTTCTAGAACTATGTCCATTTCACCTAGGTTTTCAAATTTCTTGGCATATAGTTCTTCATAGTAATTTCTTACAATCCTTTGTATTTCTGTGGTATCAGTTGTAATCTCCCCTCTTTCATTTCTGATTGTGTTTATTTAGGTCCTCTTTTTTTTTCCTGGATGAGCCTGCTTGAAGGCTTGTTGATTTTGTTTATCTTTTCAAAGAACCAGCTCCTGGATTTATTGACCCTTAGAATTGTTTCTTTAGTGTCTATATTGTTCAATTCTACTCTTTGTTATATCTTTCCTTCTACTAACTCTGGGCTGTCTTTGTTGTTGTTCCTCCAGTTAGGCTGTTTATTTGAAATGTTTCTATCTTTTTTAGATAGGCCTGTATTGCTATGAACTTCCCTCTCAGGACCACCTTTGTTGTGCCCCATAAGTTTTGGGTTGTTGTGAGTTCATTTTCATTTGTTTCCAGAAAATTTTTGATTTCTTCCCTATGGTGGTGACTTTCCTTGCAAGTCCCCCTGTGTGCCATGGATGAAAGTGAACATGACTGAGACATGATGTGATCTGCTTAGGGAGGAGAAGTGGCCATTTCCCCAGAGGAAAAAGCCCATGGACAGTGGCCAGTTTCTCAGGGGAAAAAGGCCAGCAGCAGCCAGTTTCTCCCAGGAGAAAAAGGACCCAAGCCCCCTCCTCCAGGGCCTTTTATTGGGTTGTAATACACAGGATTACAGGGCGGCAAGGATCAAACAGTAGATAACATTTCAAAGAAATCTGAGGGCTTCAGAGTCTGTCAGGAACAGAGTTTTAGGGTTTCCTGCTTGAACCCTTGACATATGAATGAAAGCACTCTTAGCAGAGCAGATTTCACAGGTTTATCAGGAAGTCTTTGTGATGCCAGATTTTTCCCCAGGACACACTCTAGCAAGGCAAGGAGCTGCATCTCTCTCGCCATCAGGTATTCAGGCTTAAGGGGATTAGAGCCAGAAAGCACTTCTCCCAGAGGACACGGGGACTTGGGCTTTGACACATAGCCAGGGGGCAAGAATCCATTGCTCTTTGTTGCAGCCCCAGGAGTCCTTCCAGGAAGGCCTCCCAAGTGATTGAGTCTGGCTTAGGTTGCCCCCTGCTGTGAGGGGTCTTACCCGTCTTTGACTTCCGACCAAGCTTTGGGGGCAGGGAGAGGAAACTGAGGCAGCATTTGCAACCAGAGATAAGCTTTGTCTCCTGTGGCTGGCACTCCAGAGGTCGTCCCTCCTCCTTAGCCACAAGGGGTAGAGATAAAATTCCTAGAACCAGGCAGAGAGGTCTACAACACTTCCCTAATCTCATTCTTGACCATTCATTGTTTCACAGCATGCTATTCAATCTCCATGAGTTTGAATGTTTTGGGTTTTTTTCCTTAAGGTTGATTTCTAGTTTCAGTTCCTTGTGGTCAGAGAAAATTCTTGATATGATTTCAATTTTCTTGAATTTGTTGAGGCTTGTTTTGTAGACACAAGATTCTTAGGTCTGTCCACTGGTCTGAAAGACTGAATAATTCTTTGCAAACCTGCGGGAGCCACCTGGGTGTGTGAGTTTTACTGATGTTCCTGCATCCTTAAGAGTGTGCTGCATTCAACTCATACCTTGTTAGCTACCCAATGGCATACATTTTCTTGCATTCCTAAGAGAATTCTTGCTCTCAGATTTCAGGACATATTTAGAAACTGGATGAGCTCTCTTATGGGTGACCCCTCCAATCCACTTAAATCAAGTAGGTGAAAAATTGGAATTATCAAAATTAAATTATGGGCTGAGTAGAGACGGT